TCCCAGTCCTGCAGGTCAGAAACGAGAGCCGAAGACGTCTGAGGAAACGTCCCACTGTGGATCTCAGACCTGTGGATTATGCACCGTGTACACCATTTATTAAACCTGATTAATAGATCAGTTTTTTGCATTTAGGCCGATGATGTGCTGCTCTGCTTCCCAGTCACCCACAGTTCCTCTGCCGTCCTGCAGCCGTCGAGCATTTTAGTCTCGGTCAATAATTAAACGTGGAGAAAGTCTCGGGTAAAAACAAAACTAAGCATCATCTTTGTGGTTAAGCTGCTCGGGTTTGAAAAGTTTCATGTTTGACTGAAATCAGGGAGTCTCTGCTGTGTTTTACTCTTTTATTTAAAGTAATGATTTGGTGTTTAAATTCTGAACCTTTCTTTGATTCCTGCAGATTGCTGCCGTGTTTCCAGGTTCAGGGTCTCTGCGGTTCCTTCGTCTTGCAGACTGTTTGACAGCCTCTGCTGTGACCGCAGAGGCTGTCAAACAGAAAGCTCTAAGTTGGGAAGCAGCTCGCTGGTTTCACTGTAAAACGATCTCCGAGTCTCCCACAATTCCACAGAGGTCTCTGTGTTATTGGGCATCAATTCAGCGCCGTGTTTAAGGTCGTCCCCCGAGGACAGACGGACTGACAGCGGGGAAACTAGCGCTCTCACGGTCAGGTGACCCCGGATCCTTTCATTTACTCGGGCTCAGTTTGCACTGCTTAAGTTTAAAGAATAAAAAAGCTGCATTAAACCCTTCAGTGAAAGAAGCAGCTTAAGCTGGTTTAAAGTGCAGGTCAGTGTGTGCTCTCGATTAGACCTGTTAGTCTCCTCAGTTTAACAGTTTGGTTCATTTACAGAAGTCTGGAAACTAAATACTCTGTGAACATCAGCGTATTCAGTGACGTGACCTCGATTACTTCTGGCTGTTAAATTTGGCGCACGCTCTCGACCACTTTGTTGGACTATATAAACCAGCTCTTCTCCTGCTGTGTGCGTTTGCTTCCACTAACCTCTGCCCACCAAAGCCACGTTCACCAGAGAAGTCTTTGAAAGAGTCCCGAAGGTAAATATTTGGTGTTTGGAGCATAACTGTCAGGAAAAAGTGTTTTAAAACCGTTTTTGAGACATAATCAGAAACTTTTAAAAGAATTTTCCCTGAAAATCTGATCCGTGACTGCACATGCTGTTTACATCCCGGCACCAATGAAATTAAAGTTGCTGAGTGTGTGCTGCATGTCACAGCCTCTAGGGGGCGCTGGCTGGGAAAACAAAAGCAGACTTGACATTGAGCATCATCTCTGGTTTTTATTTCTCGTCATTCGTCTCCACATTTCATCGTTTAATCCTCTAGCCTGCTCATGGTGACCTCCACCTCCCTGTAATCCAACTTTGTCTTTCTATCTGTGTCTGCATTTGTTTAAATCTACGCTTTGTGCAGCATCTGGTCTCTGCAGGAGGAACTGCAACATGCTGCACACAGTGATGCAGGCCGGCGCTAAAATGTTATGATATCCTTCACTTTGTCGTCTTTAAAGGAAGTCAGTAAATGTTATTTAGGTTAATAGAAAAAGTGAGTATGCTCATAAAAACAGATGCAACAGCATGTAGTTAAATCTGCCATTAAACTAATGCATCAACTAACAGCTTATAATGGATCTGTTAAAAACACCGTCGTGTTCCTCAGTCAGACTGGAGTACCTTAGCCTGGAGGAACACAGTGCTACGGCCTCTCCCAGAGGCATTGACAGCTGAGCTAAACAGTCGAGTGACGGCGTTCCACGGACGGTGAAAAACTCCTGGGTGGATCCGTCGCGTTTCTACAAACGGTGTTAGAAACATGGCGGGCGGCTGCTGTGGGCGGAGTTTAAAGTAGTGATTTCGATCTCTGAAACATGTTTGTGACAGCTGCTGTAGCTTGTAGCTACGCATGCACTTGAATTAGGAAGAGCAGGAAAGCAGAAGCAATCTGCTGACACCGACTGGTGGAGGTTTTGTCCTCTAACTTTAACTTCTCTCATTTCCAGCTCATGATTTTGATTCTTGAACTTGAGCTTTGCATGATTTTTTCCGCTAAGAATAATCCTTCTTTGTCTCAGTTCATTCCTCCTCCGACTGAAACAAGCTCCCTCTTCTCCACTCTGTGAGGAGGTGCACATCTGCTGCACTCTTCAGGATTATTTCACTCATCAATAACTTCTGTGTATTGATCTGTTATCTTGTAACGATGTAACCTACCCCGGTGTTGATGCCGGTGTGTGGTGGTCGCGTCCTGGTGGTTTAGAAACAAACCAAACGCTGCAGCTTCGTCCCTCTGGCGTCCTCGCTGTTTGTCGTGGTTTCCTCACATCCTTTCTGATAGTTCCCAAGAATTACTGAGCAGGCCCGTCACAGGCGCTGCGTTGAGACGACGTGTAGTTATTCTTCCAGGGAGGTGTCGGCGTGCGGCTAATGACGTGTCTGCACCGTAGATTTATCACAGAGTGTCAATCGCACAGCTTATGACTGTGCGGCTCAGTATCAGCAGATATCCAAAGGTAAAGTGCCTGTACGCTAGCTGAGCTTAAAGTCTGGATGGATCTCCACCGTCAAGTCTTTCACTAAGTGCCAAAGGTGTCACTGGTAAAACGGTCGGTGGGCTTCACCCTGTGGGGTCATGAGTGTGGGAGCCTGATGGGATCCAGCTGCTGCTGAGACTCTTCAGTTCGGGGCCAGGATGCTGCAGACGAACAGAGTTCACACAGTTGTGGAAACAAAGAGGCGACTTTGTATTTTTAGTTCTTGCATCAGCTTCTGCGCTGATATCTGAGGCTATTTTCAGTCATCAAAGGCTTTTACAGAAGCTGCAGTCAGAGAAAATCACAGCGCTCTCCTGCACTGATGTTGGCTCCATGTTGTTCTCAGTCATGTGACCGACCGGCCCACGAAGCACACCTGATGATAAATGTGATAATTCGGCCCGGTTCAGGGTGAGTCTGCAGGTTAGAGACATTGCAGCTCCACGTGGCACTGCTGGTAGCCATGGTAGAGGCTTTTATTGTGAAAGAGCAGAGCACAGGAAGCCCCTGAGTGCTCAGAAAGAACGTAGTTCAGTTTGGACTGTTACAAAGCAGATAACACCGTCATTAAAGGCTGCAGAGGCAAAGAGCCGAGAGGCTGAGAAAACAGTGGGCAGGTTGAAAGAATAAGTTTTGATGTTTGTCTGTGAAAAGCAGTCGTGTGTTTCTTTGTGCTGGGAAAGCAGAGAAAGGTCTGTGGGGGCGGGTCAGGATGCAGGTGGGTTGCAGTGGGTAAGATGGCGAGCAGAGCTGGAAGTTTGAAGGTGATCCGCTGCCTGTTGACAGGTGACGGTCTGCAGAGGTGGAGCCGGAGCAGCTTTTATTTGATTGGTTCGGTTTGTAAATGTGGACCCAATGAAAGTTTCCAGTGAGACTTTATGGCGGAGCGGCTTTTTGTTTTATTTATAGCACTCGATGTGCCAAAGCTCCAAAATAGAGGCTGTAAAGCCTCCAGGAGCCCGGAGGATGTTTGGGATTCCTCATTAGTCATGATTCTGCTTCCTCGGATCGATCCAGGCGCTGCACTCGTTTTACATTTTTACCGAGCTCGGTACTTTCTGAGGTCGTTAGAAATCTGTGTGGAAAGGGTTAACAGGCAGCGAGACGCCGCTGCGGGCTGACGGCGGGGAGTGCCAGAGATTTAAAGGCCAGTGGTCATCCCGAGGAGCTGTTGAAGTGGTGATCTGACGGTTTAGGGGGAAACATCTGTGCCGGCTGGGCGGTCAGCTGCCACGGCGAGCCAAAGAAAGCCCGCTTATTTTAGATCCGCTCGCTGTGAGCGCGTTTCGGGATGTAAAAAAAGCTCGCTGGATGCGGCTGCCAGGGCGAAGCTTTTTATAATAACAACCTACTGTAAACATCTGAACGTGGAGTCATGATATCAATCACGCCGTCAGTCGCTGTTAGTCCCTCGCTGCAGCAGTTTGACCCCCTGAGCTCAAACCGAGGAGGTCAAAGCTTCATTATTTGAGCGACGTGCTTCAGCTTGTGGCCTCATCAGGAACGTCTGCATATAATAAAACAACCAATCATAAGCATCCATACAGTGTGGCAGAAGCATGTACGGCTGAGTATGATAGCTCAGGTTAAAGTCAGCCATCGTCCCTGGAGACGATTCATAGTTCTTTAAAAACAGGACAGACCTGCTCGAACACTCACAGAGATGCAGGTGCTTTATTTTGAAAAGCTCTGCTTTAAAACTCCTGATCTGTCTGATTCTTTTACTCCTGCTTTAACAGTGAAATGAGTCACTGTGCAGGAAGATTTCCATCTGAGATTCAGTGTTTTTTGTTTGCTTTATTCTTCACTTCTCTGAATGTGACAGGTGTGTATCAGGTGACTCACCTGTGGAAACCTGATCCTGACCTATAAATGAAAGCGAGAGCAGCATTTCTTTAATCTGTTTTAAAAGTTTTTAATGGCAGAGGAAAACCTCCAAACGTGTCACGTGCTGTACTTTAACTGAACGTTAATGTCGGCCTGATGAAGCCGTTTCCTGTGTGTCGCCTCCGCCTCGAACAAAACCCGCGGTCGTGACCCCGACGAGTGTCAGGTCGGTGTTTGTCCTCCACTCTGGCCTCCCTCGCCTGCTCCGTGAGCTCTGAGCTCAGCGAATTAGAATTTTAAGTGAAGAAATACTCAAATCTAAAATGTTTTATGAGACAGGAACCTTTCACTTCTTATCAAAGCTTTTATTGTGAAAAATTAGTAATGGAAACTGATCAGATTTCAGCTTAATTCTGATTAAATAAAATATATTTCTACTCTAATTACACCTGCGACCTGCGCCAGGGAGAGCAAAGGACGTGCAAGCTGTTAGACAGGAAATGACAAAATAGACGGAGCCTTCAAAATAAGAGCGAGGGAGGAGTCTACCAGTCAAAGACAAATAAAATAAATGAAGCTGAAAACGACTCCATTACCAATCGCCTGTCTCTCTGTGTCCTCGCAGATATCCAGGAGTTTTACGAAGTGACCTTATTGGACAGTCAGAGATGGGTGGAGTCTTCCAAGGGGGCGGACCCCATGGCGCCCGTCAACCTATGGGACTTCTCCAGCCTTCAAAGTACAACGGTGACCTCGGACACGCTGCCCAGCCTTAGCACCAGCATCGAGGTAAGAACTCCAGCTGCTGACAGCTGCCGCTCCGCCTGTCAGGACAGGAAGTGCCACCAACACTCGGGTTCTTTTTCCTGCTTCCTGCTGCTCTGTAGCAGAGACGCCGACCGTTGGTTAAAAATAGAAAACGGTAAAAATAGATCAAACCTTTCAGACCTCGCAGGATGAAAAATGAAGCTGCATTTGATTTGCAAAGCAGTTCGATGGACAAACTGACGCCATCTGTTCCCCGCTCGCACTAAACGAGGAAAACAGGATTCCCGCCAGCGCCGGCTCCTCGACGGGTACAAACGGGTCGAACTCCTGGTCACAGCGTGTTTGGCTTGATTAGTTTGGGCTGATGAGCAACTCGTTTCACTGCAGCAATAATATTTCTTCTTGGAGCCTCATTAAGTGTCGGTTTTCTTCCTTCAAAAGAAAATTGACAAAAACTGAGACTGTTTTATCCAGAACGTTAAAATTACAGGAGCTGAAATACAGTTTTGTGCTTCTGATTTCCAAAACCCTGAAACGCATAAATGCATCTTTAGCTCACGCTACGCTGAGCGGTTGTGGTCGGTCGTCTCCTAAAGGCCAAGAAAACCCCTCAGTCAGTGTGTGGATGCCATCTGTTATCACTCCTCCTGCTCTTATTTTGAAATAAGAGCTGGATCTTCCTGTCTTGTTTACCAGTTACAGCAGCCATGTCTTGGTATTTCCTGGCAGTGACAGAAACAGTCATCACTCATAAATGAGAGATTTAAAAATAGAGAATGACACGTTGGTGTTTTGGCGTTCGTAACTGGAGAAGCCAAAATGAAACCTTTTCTTTCCTGTTTACTTTTCTGGGCTTTTTTAAAATATAGACGTAACCACAGTGATGTCACCCTTTGGTTTTGTCCTCAGTCTTAGCAGTTTGGCTGCCACCATGTTGGTTTGTTTGGAGCCAGTAGTGAACATGTAGGTAGTTAAATGCTCAGTTACCTGGTAATGCTAGCAAGCTTGCATTCAGAGACATGGAGTGGTGCTAATTAATGCTAACATCCAATTAAAATTGTTACATTTCATTAAATCTGGAAGTCAGACTTCTTGGACGGTCTGTTAGTGCCGTAACCTCACTGTTGGTCAGATGATGTCATTAAAACAGTCCAGAATACCAGCTCAAGCCTGGGAGCCAGCTAGCAGCTACAACCACCTGTGTCGCCATTCACCTGTCAAAGAGGCCACGCCCCTGAAACTACAAACTGTAAACCCTTAAACGGCTCTGGAGACCAAAGCGGTTTCCGTATCCGGCTGTGAACTTTTTATTTAAAAAGTCTGTGGGAACTCACTCGCTGCCGGAGCCTCCGGTGGACATTGGAGGAACTGCAGGTTTTCTTTTGATCATGAATTAAATGTTAACTTAATTTTTCATGTTTCAAATGAACTTTTAGTAATTATGTTCTGCAGAATTCGTTCGGCATCACTTTCCTAGTTCGTGCTGTTTCTAACATTTAGCATTTCTTCTTAGCTGCTCTCACGTGTTAACTAAAAACGTGTAATCACTGCGCCATCTGGTGGTACAAATTGGTATTGAACAAAATGAAAGTCGCGATTCAGCCTGAGCTTCTGTTTCACGCTGTGCACAGGTGTGTCGGACATAAATCTGGAGCGGCGTTTCTTCACCTTGAGTTTAAATGATGTTAAAACAGAAACTCTACCAAAGTGCTTTTAAATGTTTGACTGTGTCTGATTTTCAGCCATGAGAGCAACTGTTCAGTTTCTCTCTGCTGTACGTGACCGTGCGCCTCCGCAGCAGCTTTGAGCTAAAAGACGACGTTTGTGTTGGAGGACACGATGGCGTCAGATGTCCTTCACTAGTCCACAGGACGATGATGATGATGATGATGAAGATTTAGATCAGCAGCCTGAGGAAGTACAAACTTCATGAGTTGTGCAGTTAAAGCGAGGAAAGTGAAAATGAGACGAGTGATGTTTCCTTCTGCAACGACAGTCAAGCGTGTGAGCGCTCGTGGAGGTTCACTCCCCTGCCGAGGTGGAGATCATCCAAAGTTTTTAAAGGCGGAGCTGCTGGTTTCATCGCGCGCGCGTGTGTGTGTGTGTGTGTGTGTGTGTGTGTGTGTGTGTGTGTGTGTGCGTTCCACTCGCTGAGCTTGTGTTTAACCTCAGGTGTGGTTTTGTGCTTCTGACTTCCTGATGACATGCTTGAGGGGCCTTGTGTGTGTGTGTGTGTGTGTGGAAAGCAAATATCAACTGTTTCCCTCCACCTGATTTTTATCTAAACTGTCATCAGTTACACGTCATCACCATCTGGCAGTTTGTTTACGTCAGTAATTTATTGATTGTCTGGTTATAAAATGACCAGAAAACATTAAAACTGATCCCTCGTTAGTCCCTGAATCAAACTGAACGCATTAATGTTCGAAAATCCAAACGACGTTCAGTTTCAGGGAAAAAACAAACGATTGTTGTTGTCTGATGGTTTTAAATGCGCATCTCAACAAGAAAACAAACAGAAATAATGTTGAACATCAAACTGTTATTGATTGGAAATCCACAGATTTAAGTTACACTTTCTATAATATAAGAAGAACGAATCTCCTCCAGTTTCCAGTTTTGTGCTGATCTGATGTAAACGTTTGTGAGGACGTTTAAACTTCTCACTTGAAAAACAGTCCGAGGTCAACGACGCTGAGATTTCACTCTCGTGTTGATCTCACAGTTGATCAAAGACATCATTGATTAGTTTATTATTGGAGTTATTTTACCTGCAGAATGAATCTGTGCTGCTTTTCTATTCAAACGTGTGTGTGTGCAGACCTGCTGCTCAACCCTCAAACTACAACTTGGTTTATTCCAGATGTTGTGAAGTTCCAGAGTCAATGCAGCACATCAACAGTCTGTAACAAACATCAGAAATACAACAGAGCAGCTCGATAAAATGTAACGTCACAGAACAGAAGATAAAATCACACAAAACCAAATCAGATGGGACAAAAAGTCAAATAAAATAAAGACTCGCTGAAAGTAGAACTCATGGAAAATGTTCAGTTTAGTAGAAAAAGTGACTCTGCAGGTAAAACGGGGGAAAAAGACAGAGTGAAAGTGGTGACTGATGTTTCAGTTTTCTGACGTCTTATAATTTGAAACAATCGATTGATTATTGGTAGAAGTGAGAGATTAATGCCAGCGATCTCCATCAGTCTGCACGCTTCACATGCTTTTAAAGTTATTTTCAGTAAAGTTTCTGTTTTCTCTTCCTGAAAAACGAGAGCAGAGGCGGCAGGTTGTTTGTTTGGTGCTTTAAATCCTGAGACCTCGGTGTTTGTGCGTCTGCGTTCAGCTCAGCTGAGCTTCCGTCTGCGGCACAAACACGTCTCCAAGATGTGATTCGCGACGTTGTGGTGAACGCCAACATGTGAAACGTGAAAGCCGGCGATTCTGTTAGTGAAGCGAAAACGGAGCAGTCTGCCTCCTCTGCTTCTTTCATTCGCTCTAATCCCGTGTTTTCATAATAGCAGATGGGATCAGCCAGAAATTGGAGTATAATCCAGAAAATGTTATTTTGTGTCTTTGTATGAGATTGGTTTTTTTGGGAGGGGGTTAAAGCTGAAGTCTGCAGAGGTTGCCGTGGCAAACAGCTGGAGTCTGGATGTAATGCATCATTATTCCCGTGCTGTGCGCTCGGGCAGGTGGACGGAGACGTTCATCCGCTCGCGGCTGGCCTGAGGTTAGCGTTCAGGGTTGCGGGGCAGCTGATGCACGCTCAGGATTTACTCTGACGCTCGCTATGTGAGTGAGCGGCACATCCAGGTTAAGTGGAGGTTACGGTTCTCATCCGATGGAGCTGGCCAACCGTTCCTCTCTTCAGGCAAAGCTAAGCCTGGACTTCCTGAGTGAGGCATCGGGCTTCTCGCTTTGAGGAAGACAAAAAGGAAAATGTCTGAATTTAAAAATGACGCGAGAAGCTTCTCCAGAACGCCTTTCACCTGCTTGTCTGTTTGCTCCCGCCTGATCCAGCCCGTTTGTTGTGTGAGGAGCTTTTCCAGAGCCGGACTGAGCTCGTTCATCCTGGTTTTTCAGTCCTGTGCTTTCAGCTGTCCAGGACCCGGGTTTGGGTCACATGGGTGTAAAGGTGAGCTGGTTGTTTGACCAGGCGATCAGTACTCCATCTGTATCCTCTGGAGCCAATAAACTGGCTCCTTATTTTCAGAACAGGTCGAACGTGACAGCCATAATGACCCCGGGAGTTTTCTGCCAGCCACCATAACACGCTGCTGCAGGTGGGGACTCGTGTCAGTGAGAGCACAGCTGGTTGGGTTTCAGTCCTTTGCAGATGCATGAACGGAGGCAAACATGCGTCAGTGTGAGGTGGACATATTTCACCTGATGATCAGCAGAGATGGAGGGCGGGACGTACGCATCATGTTTAGATCGGAGCACAAACCTGACGTTGGCTGAGATGTTTCAACCTGCTGTGTTGTTTGATTGAATGCTTTTCTTCTTCTTTCCTCTTTTTCCCGACTGTAAACGCTCATGCTCCCCCGTAGGACTCCCCCCTCCTAAACGAAATCCTCCACACGTTGGCGCAGGCCAAGTGCCCGCCTGGCCGTGACGGACAAGTAAGTACTGCCTGCTGTTGGTGGGAGGGGCTGTCGGTGTCGTCCACCTTCGCCGCATGTCCCATCCAGTCCTCGTGTGCTTTTTTTGGGCCATCGGAGGGGTGGGGGTCAGGGGTCAGGTTCGCCCAGACGGCCTCAACGTGTCGCTTTGAGTCGTTCTGATCTGAGTTTGGATGAAAGTGGAACCAGAGCTGAAGTCTGAGGCTTGTTTTTAACACTGATCAATAAAACAAACTCGCAGCTCTCACCGAGGAGCCGTGGCTTCATGGTCGGCGTGTGAGCTGAACTCTGACCTGAAGATGCGCTCCTTCAGTTTTCATCCTCCATCTTCACGTCTGGTCTCAGTGTTTAAATATTTCTATCAGCAGGAACGCGGCGGCACGTCGAGGCTGTCTGTGCTGTGTTCAGGGGTCGTGGGTTCATCGTGCTTCATTCGTTTTGGTTCATGTTGTCGGGTCTGAATGGTACACCTCCGGTCCTCAGAGCTGCACACACACACTAACACACAGCTGTCACTGATGTGGTAAAAACTTTATTAACGGATTTACACGAACGACTTTTCGTCGAGTGAGTCTTCAGACGTTTAGAGTTTACACATCGAATCAGGTGTGACGAGCTTTTCTTTTCACGCTGTGACCATAAATGGACAACGAGCAAAAATAAAAATGACACCATGTTTCACATGAAAACGTCACAGCTAGCTAATAGATGCATGTGAGCTGTTATTCTGCAGTTATATGAACAGTTGGTGCTCAAAGGCTTCACTTTACTGGAACAACAAACCTAAAATGTAACCAGTGTTTCCACAAGAAGCTGTAAATCAAAGTTAAAGTGATATTAAAATCATTTAAAGTGTTAAACGTGGATTAAAACTGGCCGAGGGTCTCAAACTGAAGCCAGATGAAATAGATTCATTTACCCACAGCACAATAGAAACACAGTAGATTTAATAGAGCTGTTCACAGCAGCAGTAAATGTGTTTAAGAACATTTTACTGATGCTTTTAATCTCTTTAAATGATGCAGATTAAAAATTCACTTTAAGCTCAGGATACGGCAGCAGAAGTTTGTTCGTTAGCGCCGTGCAGATGTTAGTTCCTGATTTCAGCTCTGCAGCACGGTTTCATTTACATTCAAGTCCAAATAATCTTAAATTGAAGTGAAACTCTTCGATCAGTTCATGTTTATTGTTTTTGATTGAATTTCACTTCCTTATTTTATCCAAACTGAGCAAATAGACGTTCAAACTTCACTGAATTCATGTCAGCATGTCTCAGATATCAGCTGATAAAAAGTAGTGTTTGAAATGGGTCAACTTTACATTTTGAGCTGTTAGTGAGAGAGTCTGTTAAAAAACAGCGGGTATGACCCTGCAGCCAGGCTGAGCGCCTGCCTGCGTGGAGCTTTTATTGTGAAGGAGCCTTGCGAGGCCTCCCCCGGACAGACTGGAGCTGTACTGGCGTTCAGCACCTTCGTGGTGGTGGTTGGTGTGGAATTCAGTTCAGGTTTCCGTGAGGCTTCGGTCCTGCGCCGCCTCTTCAGGCTCCTGTGTGTCTCGTGCTGCTTTCAAATACCATCCTCATGTGTTTCTCAGTGTTGTACGTTTCTGAGCGTCGCAGCTCGTCCGGGGGACTTTCTGACCTCACATTGCTGTGACCCACTTATGCAAAATCTACCTGCGAAGCTTCGTCCATAAGCAAACATTATTCACCACAAGGCAGCAGCGGCTCAGAGCCTCGGCCTGGAAAGAGTTAATAATTCACACAACATGAAGCTGTGGTCTGAGGCTGCTGCTGCTCAGTGAGTCAAACCATCTAACAAGGCTCAGCTCCCTTTTTATCCCACATTGTTTCACTGTCGTCAGGCTGCAGGTGGAGAACACCTGCTGACAGGTGAGGCTCCTCAGCTGCAGTGGAAACAGACTGTATAAAACAGATGGACGTAGCGTCGTCACCTGTTAGTCAAGTCTGTTTTGTGAAGCCTCAAACTTGACACTGAAGGGTACTGTATGCTCATTGGTGAATGACTTTCAGTCACAAGTTGTTAGCCAATGAGCATCTCCCTCTTTGTCTTTTTTTACAAACTCTAATGGGAACAACAAAATCAACACTGTGTTGCGTTTAATGACACCTGAAAGCAGCGACTGAGACCATGAACTCATCAGGATCAGATGATCAGGCTGGAGGGTCAGAGGAGGCGCCACCTGCTGGACATTCAGAAGAATGCACTGGCTTCATTTTGCACAGCTGGAAACTGCATCCATCTTTTATTTACAGTCTGTAGTCGGAACCCACAGAGCCACAGCATCATCGCAGGAAGAGGCGGAGACTTGGACACGGACGAACTGTGAGCGCGTCCTGTAAGACGCTCATCGACCAATAAAAAAAACCTGCTGTGCACCTGGTGAGCAGGTGGTGAACAAGTAGTGTTTCAGAGGCGCTTTGCGTGACAGTCAATGTGGAATAAAACTCACGTCATCTCGACTTTACCTGAAGTGTTTCCACAGTGCTGAAGCTGCTCAGGCAGCCGTGCAGAGAGCAGTCACAGAGCGCTCGTATGTCCTCGTGTTCCTCAGAACAACCAGCAAAGCTTTTCACTCTGACTTTAACTGATAACGCTCGTGATGTGTGACGACCACGGCGCTGTGAGCGGTTTGAGATGTCCACACCTGAGGCAGTTGCTGCTTCTCTGCAGCTTCTCTGCAGGGTTAAACTGTTCTTTTCATGTTACTGTGAAACAAAAGTCCAGTGCTAAACACAGTTGTGGGTCACAGCAGCTCGATAAAGGTTCTTTAAACTTTTCTGCAGTGAATTATCAGAAACGGGTCAAACATGCAGGCATGCTTCTCCCTGCTGCTGCACGCAGACGTTAAACTGCTGCAGCTCATTTAAACTCTGATCGATCGCTCTGATGCTCTCAGCTGCTTGGAGAACAAGCACAAAAGCACTAATAACTATTTCTCTTCAGGGCAAACGAGCTCATCACTTTAATGTAAAGCCCGGCAAACTGTTCTGTGGAAAACGCCACTCGCATCACTTCCTGTTCTGTGTTAATGTCGAGGTGTGAAACACGCCATATGATGATGATGACACGCATGAGACGCGACGCAGCTACATGACGGATTCATGGAGCTGTGAAAGATTCCCACCTGCCAAACGCCCACGCTGCCCCATCTCCTCCTCCCCCTGCTCCTGCTGAGAGGGACACTGCTCCTCCTCCTCCACCTCCACGAGCATTTGGCGTTGAGTCATACATGTCATCAGCAGCAGTTAGCGTGTTTTCAAACCTCAAGAGGAAAAGCCGAGGCACAGTCTGACTCAGACAAGATGAGTTTGTGGTCTCTTATCGAGTAGGACGTCACAGCGCTTCAGGGACACTTTAAAACACACTGATGGTTACAGCGCAGCCACCAGTCCGTAATCCAGTTAGCTGATTGATAGAAAAATTACTCATGAATCCTTTTTATGTAAAAATGTCAGACATACTGCTGTTTCAGCTGTTTGTTTAATGTAGAAAATATCAGGGAATAGTCACATATCATATCAGTCACTATTTCACATGATTATTTGAAGAAATAACTGTTTTATTCTATCAAGTTGAAATTTATCTATAATCAAGTCTTTTTAGAGTCATGTTGCACTTGTAATAAAACAGTATTATTCACTGGTAAGTACAAACTAATTTCAGCCCAGATCGTCATCTGCAGATATCATTCATGCCTAAGGACTGCTCAGAATACCTACGTGCCATTTAGAACCTGCAGGGGAGAAAAATAATAATTGTAATGATTTCAATCACATGACATTTACGTCATATTTGCATCAAAACTGTTTTAGTTTTGGCTAAAAGTACAATACCTGATGTCAAATGTAATTACTGAAAGGTAAAAATACTTGACTCAGTTCTTTATTACAGAATAAATTCATATTTTAATTAGTGTAAATTTATAATATGATAAATAATTAACTACATAATTTAAGCTGCTCCAAAATGTATTATTTAATGTCTGTGTTTATTTTTTTAAGTGTTAATAAATACGCTGGTCTGCAATTACGCAATCATTACAGTCCAGGTATTTAGTGTTGCATTCAGATACACTCTGAAACTATTTTTCCAGTCAAAACGCGTTTGATTGATCGGTTTAAAGTGAAAACTTGACTGGATAAAATTATATTATTAATTTCTATCTCCTGTAACCTCGCTAACAAACAATACAATACACTGGTTTTAATAGTCCCGTGTTAATCTTTTAACCTCATAACTTGGAGGGAGTGGATTTTTCCCAAAGCGCCTGAACGCAGCCTTTGTGTGTGGAGGAGCGGGGTTCGCTGAGCGCTGCTCCTGCTGAGCTCCGGATACGGTATGAAGGAGGACCGGGGGAGGGATGAGGTGGCTCTCCGGTGAGCGCACTCTCTCTCTTGGGTAGATTTATGACCGCAGTCGGTCGGTTTGTGAGTGAATGTGAAGCATTTATGAAGAGTGGCGCCTCGCTGGAGTTCGCTCAACAGGAAGGACGGACGGAGATGAGATGCTGATGTTCCCGGGCTTCACTCCCGGCTCGGAACGATGGACTGCATTTGTATTGTCACCACTAAGGTAACGCTTGAAGAAAGCTCATAAAATACCGACACACGCACACACTGGAGGGCGAGTTTAGTTAAGAGTGAGTCGGTGTTAAATTCGGCTTTCATTACATCATTCAAACGGCTTTTTTATTAGGTGAAAATTCACTTTTTTCAGGGGTCCGCGCCTCATTCCCGCCGTTGGTCCCCATTAAAACAGCACCGCTGATGAAGTGGTTAGTATCGATTTGTGACGATACATTTATAAAAGTGAGATTTCTACCAAAAATAGTGCTACCTCCTAATAGGTGGTATGTTGTCATTAATTGTGAGTCGATGGTCAATTCGGCTAGTATATTATAATAAAGACGACTTTTTATTCAGTAAAAAAACTTACTTTTCTGAAGGGTTCGCTCCTCATTCCAGCCTGTTATACCCA